TCACTGGGTGGGTACTCGAATGAACGAACTCACCTGCGTGTGTAGCCATACCTAGGAAGATGTGAATTCTTTAGTAGGGTAAATCATTACCATGTCATTTCAATTTTAAAATCTTCTCTCAGGATTTGTGTTGTTAGGTTAGGTGGTTTAATATTTTATCTACTCTGTTAAAGGAGATTTATTAAATAATTTATCTTGAATAATTAATCTTATACGTTTTTACTTCTGCTAAGAGATAAAAGAGTAGTCTTAGCAGTAAATTATACATAATATTTAATTATTAAAACTTCAACAAAAGAAAACACAAATAATATAATTTTTACACACATTTAATATTCATCTGTTTTGTTTAAACGAATAGGAATTCTATTTCTGTCGCAATAATGTTGATAATTGCTTTAATATGTATGTTTGACTGTATAGCAATCGAGTTCGACAGAGGGTCGCATCAAGTGCACCTTGATTCCCGGCGATGGCGTCGGCCCTGAGTTGGTCTACTCCGTACAGGAAGTTTTTAAGGTAAGTCTAAAATGTAACAGAAGTTAGAACTGTCTCAAGCCTCAACAGGTAGACTAGTTATGATTGTGTGAAGTTACTTTTGTAAAGATACATAAATTCTCGCCTGTCTCCAATGTAGGTAGACACAGGGCATATACTATGGAACGCCAATTGCTACGATTCTTACATGCCTCTTTCGCTTCATCTCAGTCATCAGTCTTTCCAAGCATGCTCGTCGGTTAAAGGTACTTTTAATTTGGCCCTTGACATATCCCAAAGGATATAAATCGTCTAGAAAAGTTGATAAACAAAGCATTTGGACGCAAAATTATTTTATTGACGAACTAAATGAAATTTAAATAATATTGAACTTTATGTTGCTCATTTTATTGGTATTTTTGGAAAATTCTTTACATCAGATCCCATTTTGTTCAAGAAATTACATCTACATACATTGGACCTGCAAGTCACTATTAACCTATAACATCATCTATTTATTATACTCCAGGCGGCTGACATCCCAGTGGACTTCGAGTCGTTCTTCTTCTCCGAGGTGAACCCCACGCTCAGTGCACCGCTGGAAGATGTTGTCAACTCCATCGCTAGGAACAAGTGCTGCATCAAGGTAAATAACTTTTTATACCTAACATTTTTTTTCTCGACTTTTTTAGGATCATCCCCTATAACATAAAGAGTGAAAAATGGATGTTACATTGTACAGTGGCATTAAGTGCCGTAACGTGAACCTTTGCCTAACCCTTCGGGGTTAAAAGGCGTGATGTTGTGTTCATTTTTTTTTTATATTTGATGGGTCGTCGTTTGACTACTATCTCGTCTAGTGGTAAGCGATGATGCGGTCTACGATGGAGCACGTCGTCCCATAAGCAACCTATTCACTCGGGCTTCGAAGACACCGAGGTTGTACCCTTCAGGAAATACACGACTCTAGCAAAGAATTCCACTCCTGAGCAGAACGCACAAGGAAGCTTGATGCAAAGCGCTTCGTGCGTGTGGGTAGGATATCTACCATCAATCGGTGACGCTTCGTCGATTGTCTTGTGGTACGATGATGGAAAGGACTAAGGAGAATCAAGTGGTGCAATTCCCCCTAGTTCCCAGTTGAATATTAGTTGAAAGTGCAGAAAAGTCATACAAAGCGAGTTCATGATGAACTAGATTCGTCCACTGATTAGGCTAAGTATTATTGAGATTATACGTTCTGAAAGTAATATGGATAAAAGGGATTGGGCTAACTCACACGACGAAACACAACGCAATCGCTGTTTCACGTCGGTTTTCTGTGAGGCCATGGAATCATTCCGGTCGAGTCAGCCCATTCGCGCCGAAGCATGGCTCTCCCGCACTTAAATACCATAACTACGAATCATAATTTAAGTAATCTATTTCTTTCATCCTCAGGGTATTCTCGCCACCCCAGACTTCTCCCACACCGGAGAGCTACAAACCTTGAACATGAAGCTCCGTAACGCCTTGGACTTGTACGCTAACGTGGTACATGTCAAGTCATTGCCCAACGTAAAGAGCAGGCACCGTGATGTCGACTGCATCATCATCAGAGAACAAACTGAGGGAGAATACTCCGCGTTGGAACATGAGAGTGTACCTGGTAAGTACTAGTTAATCGATTTTTCTCTCTTTTACCGTAATGTAAGGTCGAAAATACATTAAACTCTTAAGTGAATGTGTTAGAGTGTACCTGTTAAAGGACTTGTTGGTGGATTTTTCACTTTATTACAACATGGCAAGGTCGAAAACCCTTTTTATAAAAGGTTAAAGTGGCTTCTGCTGATTTTATTATTTGTAGCATTTCTAGAATATATATTAGATGAAATTACACGTAATATTAACGAAAATAAAGTCTATTTTAGCAGCATTAAGACCTTAATATTTATACTACTGTTATCTCATATTACAGGAGTAGTAGAGTGCTTGAAAATTATCACGGCAGCTAAGTCGGAGCGTATCGCCAAGTTTGCCTTCGACTACGCTGTAAAGATGGGACGTAAGAAGGTGACAGCCGTACACAAGGCCAACATCATGAAACTTGGAGACGGACTGTTCTTGCGTAGCTGCGAAGAGGTAAGACAAGCCAGCATATACTCAAAAGACCAGTGAGGTTTTAACTTTTTCTCTTTAAAATAAAGATACGATCTATTTCAAGGTCTTCAACTTGATTTCTTACATGTTGTTTGGCTCCAAAAAACGAGACGTCACAATACACAATCTCGTACAAAATTCATAGAAAACTGTCATTCTTCTAAGTTAGAAAAAAGTATTGAATTTGAATCATCAGTCTATAAGTCACTACGTCTACTCAAGGCGGGTTGGCGATTTAAACTTATAACTCAGGATTAACAGAAACAAAATCTTTTCCAGATGGCAAAATTATACCCGCGTCTCCAATTCGAGAAGATGATCGTGGACAACTGCTCCATGCAGATGGTATCGAACCCCAACCAGTTTGATGTGATGGTGACCCCAAACCTGTACGGTAACATTGTAGACAACCTCGCCAGTGGCCTCGTCGGCGGCGCGGGAGTCGTCGCCGGCGCTTCGTACAGTGCTGAGTGCGCTGTCTTTGAACAGGTAAAGAGATCCAGTGGATTAATTCATGTTTTACTAGCTTTTACCCGCGGCTTCGCTCGCGTCACAAAAAGATAAAAAGTAGCCTATGTGACATAATGTATACCAATACACACAGCGCCATCTATTGGTATAAGAAAGTATTGGTATACTTTTGTTTTCCCTCGGGAATACCAATTTTTTCCGGGATAAAAAGTGCTCTATTATTTAATCCGGACTTTTCTTTACATCTGCAAAAATTCAAAGCAATCGGTTTAGTAGTTACGGCGTGAAAGCGGAACAAACAAACAAACTCACTTTCCAATTTATAATATTAGTAAGGATTTTATGGAATATGGTCGGTAAACGAGTAGACAGGTCACCTGATGATAAAAAATCATCTGATGGTACAGCGATTAGCCTCGCCCATGGACACACAACACCGGAGGAGTTACAATAACGTAGGCGGTCCTTTGAGATCATAATATTATTATGTTTGAGAAATAATATCTATAATATATTATATTTAACTTTAAATCTTCTCCAGCTCAGTTTATTAAAAACCTTTTGCGCAATGACTTGCTTGCGCAAACAGTTTGCGCAGCCCAGTTGCGCAACGGTTTGGAATTATAATAACTTATTTTACAGTACATTAACTTAAACTATCCTTACTTAATATAAAACAAAGCTACTATAGTAAACCTAATACGTAATATAATTAAAAATACGAATAAAGTATGAACTGTTTGCAGGGAGCCCGTCACATATTCTCAGGTGCGGTGGGTAAGAACATTGCTAACCCGACCGCCATGTTGCTTTGCTCCGCCAACCTACTGGCACACGTCAACCTGCACCCATACTCCAGGATGATCAAGAATGCCATCAACAAGTATGTATAATTGCATAAGTCTTCTTAGAATGCCCAAAAGACATTTTATACTGAAGAATTGAGGTTTTCGAATAGCTATTTTGCTATTTTTAATATAAAATCTTCGAAGAGTAATTTATGTTATTCTGAATGTGAAATAATGTACTGTTGTGTTGTGTAGTGTTGCGGGTATTTTATAATTTCCAAAAATTCTTCTATCTACTCTGCCAATGTTTAAAAATTCTGAAGTTCAGGGTTTTTACCACATTTTTGTTTGTAGTGTACTTTGTACAACCGTATTTGTCATATTACGTCTTTTATTCTCAAAAGGGGTCCGATTTCAATCATATAAAGCAATGATTTATTAATATTTATATTTATATTTAAAAAAATTTTGGACTAGGCAACGAATTACATTCAACACACTTACTTAAGACATATTTTTCTCCACAGGGTATTGACAGACGGCAAAGTAAGGACAAAGGACCTTGGAGGACAGTCCACCACCAAAGACTTCACCAACGCGGTCATCCACTGCCTCACATAAACCTACACCTTCCAATAGAACCAATGAAACAACAATATTTAGTATACTTTGAACTTAATTACTTGTAGTATTAGGTTCATTATTCATTGACAGAAAAATTCATTTAAGGGAGTGATTTGGGTTAAGGGAACTCTTTGGAGTTTGTGTGATAGTCAATTTAATGTTATTGAGTAACGTTTGGAATCGTGACGTCACAGTATACGTCGCTAATAGAAAACATTCGAAATAAATAATAGAAATGTCTTAAAAATATTCAATCTAATTTCGACCGTACGTAACAGAAATTACGGTACCATTTCGTTTCATTGGTTCTTATAGCATAAAATCAAATCATCCCCGAACACGTTGTGTTCGTTTAACACTACATTTAAGCATTATTTATTTTTACTTTTAACGTAGAAGCAACGATCTGTGAATAGTGACATTATTACAATTCAGTATTCATTTATGTACAAGTATTTATGTAGATACAATCAGTTGGGAGATGTAAATAAAACCATAATATGTACTACTAAAGGTTGTTTTTTTATTTTTCAACGGTACCTATTACGTATACTATATACAGGACATAACTATTAGAATAACAACAACGAACATCTACCAAGTTATATCTTCGATATTTTTGAAAAAAATCACGTTTATAGTTTTTTTTTTATAACTTTAACATGTTTTTTTTTCGATTTCAATAACGTTGGTTACCGTTTTTGGTCGTTATTCGTTTTACATTCGTTTGTGGTTAAAGTAGTGAAGTTAGTCTCCCTGTGGGGCAGCTCTCGCAACGGCTAGCTTCTTGGTTCTCTCCGTTATTACATACTTCAGGGCATTGGGCGCCACCTAGTCCATTATTAAAACAGATTGTGAACAATATTATTATCTT